AAAAAAAAAAAGTAATCAAACTTTCTCAACAGAACTATTCAGCCACAATAGGCTTTTCAGCAATCTTTTATTTCAGTAGGTTCAAGTCAGCTAGAATTCTGAATCCTCATAGCCTTTTAAAATGAAGACAGGAAATAATCCCAAAGTTTAAAACTTTCGGTTGATTTTGAGGTCAATCTCCCTCAATGTTATCAAACATCAGCTGTGAGAATAATTTCTCAGTTTCAGCAGCCATCTTCACTGTTCCATTATGAGCTAATCAAATAACATTAACTAAAATTTTGGAATGCCATCAAGACATCAGCTGAGAAAAATCACAATAGTTACGGATCTCTAACATGGAGACATTTTGTTGAGGAGTTTCATTTACCCATTTTTAACTCTGACTCATCAGTATACTTAACCCAAGGCCAGACTCAAGCCCATTGAGCATAAGATTAGGATGGCTGATCAAGGTGCAAAAGCCTAATAAAATATGCATGTCAATGAGGCTTAGTGTTTTAAATTTCAGAAAAAGCATTTCTAAATAAATGTTTTCATTTCAGGTTAGCCAGTCAGTCTTCTGCAAAACAAAAGGAAAAAAGACAATCCTGTAGAGCTATTATTGTTGCGTCTTACTGCAGGACAATTGCAAAAACACACCCCCAAACCATTCCACGCATAGCTAAAAGCATCCTCCCCACCACAGGTCAAAGGCTCCTCCCTGTAACCATCCAGAAAAAAGGCAGTGCAAAAGCTGCGCTGAAAGCTCAAACACAGGCTGTGCGTGATATTCCATAGGGGAAATGCAGTACAGCTCAGAACATGCGAATTCAGCTCAGTGTCTCACCAGAAAACAGCAAACAAAATACACTTGCCACCACGCAGCGGCAAACAAAGTGTAGACAGGAGAGTAAAGAACAGTCTATAAGAATACTTGCTAAATAGGATGATGTCAACTGACCAATTTCTTACATAGTGGGTTATGCAGCTTACCAAAGCATCTCAGAAACTGCTTCTCCTGAGAGTGAGGCTATGTACTATTTTCATGCATAAAAAAAACAAAACAAAAAAACCCTTCTCCCCCCCCCCACCCCAAACAAAACACCAAAAAAATGCCCAAACAAAAAAATCTCATAGTGGATAGAAGTCAGAGGCTATTGTGCATAAACCTTCCACAAATACCTGTTTCGATAAAAAACAAAAAACAATACTGCCAAATTCTGCAATTTGTTACTGTTACCAGTTTCAAAGAACAGTGAGACATTAGAGGAGAACCTAACTTCTTCTACCATTCCCTTTTTTAAAGTCATATCTAAATTTTCTCCCAGCCACACACCTGAGAGTTGAAATACATACAAATATGTGTGTATATATATATATATGTAAACACAGATTTCGTTCTAACACATTTCATAGAAGATAAAAACATATCTATGGACATAGAAGGATGGACACCTATAATGAAAAGAAGTAATCTTCCTAGATGCCTCTACATATTCTCTCTTCAGCACTTTGCTGCTTCCATTTCTTTCTTGCCTTTTCCTACAAACCTACCACAGAGCTCTCCTCCCTATCTAATTCCCCTCTACAATAAACCTTCATCTGTGTTGAATGCAAGCGCCTTATACCAACTGACCCTCACACACAGACAAAGGAACAGCAAACAAACATCCTCCCTCAATCAAAGTTGTAAAAGAGAAATAACACTTGGATGGAGTGAAATTAAATATCCCCACAGAGGCAGAGAGTCATTTCCTAAGTCACTTATTCAATAAAAAAACTAAAGCGTTAACATAGAAGTCTGACTTTACCGATGCCTAACTCTCTCTGGGGTTGCACTTCTGAATTCTAACTCAGATTAAATTAGAGCTAGCTACATTTATTTTTTTAAATAAATGCCAAGTAACAAAAGATAGGTATTTCCTATTGAAAGGGTTGTCTTGAAAGGGGAAAAAAGGAAAAAAAGTTCAATAAATGACTTACAAATTCGTATTTACTCACAGGAAAAGTGAGGGCTCTTTTGCAGACGTAGTCCCCCTTTAACCCCGATCAATCAGCCATTGACTATTTTGTTTTAAAAAGTCGTCTTTTACAAGAAATGTCGCAGCCTTTTTTCCATTAGACTATGAAAATGGCATGGAACGCGGCTGAGCGCTGTGTAATATATGTATTAATCAAAAGACTGGCAGGGGAAAAACACCCAACTGCAGAGGAGGACCCAGTCACAGTTTAACCTGTTAGATTAGCAGAGGAGGAAAAGGAAGTAGCTGCTTTTCATCACTTTAAACAAAAAAAAGTTCTGAACAGCAAATAAAGTATAACTGCCTTCACTATACGTCACCATCAATATATCAACTCCAAGTTCTTTTCAGCGTTCTCTACCTGCTGTGCTAGCACTAATGTTCCATATGCTGCTTGAATCGCAGTGCTAAAGTTTTCTGTTTTAATGGAGAACTTATAAATAACTTTTATTTGTAATCATGTATAGAACTTATTTATAAATAAGTTTGACCAAAGTGTAAATACAAAAAAGATGGGTTTTTTCCCCCCCTTCAAAGAAAGGAAAGTTTTCATTGTAGCCACAAACAAAAAGTTTATTTACTTGAAATGTCAGTTATTCATTTAACTAAGTTAACTGCATAAACTGAAAAGAACAAAATATTATCTGCATCTACCGAAAAGTCTACTGATGTGAAAAAGCAACTTAAACACACATGTTCCAGGTGCTCAGAAAGTTTCCATTAGGTCAGCTGTTTAAAACATGTCCTGTTTTGATAATAAACATGCCATTTAAACGTTTTAATTAAATGTCCTAATTTATTTTTATAAACAAAATCCAATTTGTTTAATCTAGTCTTTTCCTGCTGTTTTAAGCTAAAAAGATTAAAGGCTTGGCAATTGCCTTCCAAAGCAGACATCAGCACTTATGAAACAGTATTATTTTCAAAACTAAAATTAAAGGTGATCAGGTCAATATTCTTATTTTAGAGTATTCTTAAATTTTTTTACCAGAAACTCTTTAAGAATTAATAAAAGAGCAAAACTAATTTTTTTTTAAATCACTTAATTATGATAGTTCAACATCTTTTACATATTAACTAGAATTCACTAAACACTTGTCAAGGATTATTTAGGGTTTTCATAACAAAGCCTAGAGATTTGTGAAAGTGAGTAATAAGTCCCTCTGGCAGTAAAAGTAAAAGTGGAACGAGTCAGGAGCAATGCAGGTCAGAAATTCAATACAACCAAACAGCGAAAAGAGTGACACACTTCAGCTACTAACAATTATTTTTAGACAAAGTCATGAACTAACAAATCTCTTAGAAAACAAGTTGTATACACAAATTTTCAAAATTCTGGCCTCTCCAATTCAGTTATTCAACGTACTTTGGATTTCAAAAAGTCAATACATTATAATAGGTTTAGTCTGCCTTTATCCAAATTGTTACTGTACTAGCGTGATTTCCCTGTCAAACATTATTGTCTTCATACGCCTCTTACAACACCATGTCATGATTTTTTTGATTGAAATAGATGCCAGTGAAGCCCTAATTCAGCTCTCTAGCGCATATATATATATATATATATATATTAGCATATATATATATATATATATATAATAGTCTAATGTATTACTGAATCTCCTGCAACTCCTGGCTTCTTTAGCTTAAAGGACAGATCATATTCAATTAGCAGCTAGTCAATACTTTGTTCTGATCTATGTGCATACTTTTAGGTCTTATACACTGCAATTCAGCGTAGAGATAAAGACAGCATTAGTTTTCTCATTTTCATGATACCCAGACACTGAGATATTGAATAGCTTCAGGTTAAACATGCAATTTACTACTGTGTTTTTACAAATACGCGCTGACAGCGGAAAAAAGTGACAAGACTCAAGCTTATCATTACAAAAATAAGAAGTTTGTCCCAGTGTACACAGTCATCTATTCATTTTCTTTAAGATGCATCTTCTACCACATATTCTCCCCCTTGCTCTTTCCTAATTCATCTCTCCACATAAACTGCTATATCCGCGTATCTCGTGTTTTGTGCTTTTCCTCCTACAAATATCCTTATTCAGACAATCGTAGTTTCCATTCACACCATTTCTCCCCTTCTGGCTCAGCCAGACTTGGTTTCCTCCTTTCAACTTTTCACAAAAGCCTTCTGCTTTCTCTGACAAACTGTCAGCTTCCCCCACAGCCTGTTCCTCTTTCTTTCCCATACTGATAGATTTTAAAAATCATCTCTCCTCCTCACCGCAGCTCTCCACTGTGGTCTTCCCTGTTCAAACAGCTTCTGTCTACCCCTGCTCCTTACCAGTTCTCAAAACTGTCAGCCTGTTATTCCTCACTCCCATTTATTTCTTTCCTATCAGCTTCCATGCCTAACTTTTCTGCCTTTTCGTTTCCAACTAGCCCTCCCTCTCAGTTCTCAGCATCTCTGGTATGAAACCTAGTCTCATCTCTCTAACTCCAAGTGACTTGCTTTCCTCCCTTCTACAGTTCCAACTTCCAACTCCTTACTTAGCAAGTCTTTAGAGCTTTTAGCCATTATGGTTTAGCAACTTCCAGCAGAAGTAACTTCTACTGTCTGGTATTAATCTTTGAAATTCTCTTTACAGAAAGAACACAAAGCAGAAGATGCAAATTCCTTCATCCTTTTCCTATCCAACATCTAATTCCTCATAAAGTTAAGTACAGAATTTATCCATTATGAAGATATTCTCTTGGGCAGAAGTTGACAAGCCTTGCACTAAAATGAGGTACACCTGCCTTGTTCATAACTGACCCTGCTTTGAGCAGGAGGTTAGACTAGATGACCTCCTGATGTCCCTCTCACCCTGAAATTTTCCTAAAGAGGAATCTGTATAACATAAGGACTACCAAAGGTTAGTGAAGAGAGATGTACCTTTAGCAGAAAAGTTGCTAAGGCATACAAATACTAAAGAGAGAGACAGGGAGAGAGAAGGCAATTTGTTGGCTATTTTTTCACTCTGTTCTCAAATACTAGCCAGCAGGAAAGAACACAACAAGGATTTTAAGTATAATCTCTGCCCCTTAAAAAAAAAAAAAAAAAGCAGCAGTATCGATCTTAAAACAGGAGGTACAGATTTGAAAAACTGAACTGGACTCTCAAATTCCCAGTGCCTCATTTTCACTCCAATGTCACACTGGATTTTAGATAACCCTTCTTCTTCAAGCAGAAGTGTTTAGAAACTTCTACTGAAGTTTAGTAAAAGGAATGACAATTACAAAATGAAGGACTTCAGAATCTCTCTTTTAAAATTACTAACTTATTTCAAATATTTTCATCAATGTCTATCTCCTCATTAACTATTTTGTATATACAAATAATGAAGACCTACTTGTCTTGGCTCTTGTCAATGCCAACACTTTAAGAGGAAAAGGCAAATGGTATTAGGCAACATTTGATAATGCAAGACAGCCAAGATATGAAGAAACCAACAGCATGCTTCACTTGCAAGTATTAAGCATCTTGAATTTAAAGGAGAGTAAGTGTTTACTCATTACTTACTCTGGTATGTGCTTCATCACACACAAAAATAGGTTGTACTTGCATAGTTTTCCCCACCCTAAGAGGATGGGGACATACTATGAATTTATTAGTGTTCTACAGATTGCCTCACTGACTCCCAAATGGATCAGTTATTAAAAAGCCATTTGCTGAGACACACTGCCTGATACTATAGCTAAATGGGAAAAAGAAAAAAAAAAAAACAAATTCAAAAGGACCATAAGACTTCAAATCTGAATAGAATTGGCTAACATGGTTTTCAGTGGCCTAAAATAACATTAGTATTCAACCAAGTATTTTCTCTATTAGCATGTTCATTGTATTGTACCTACCTAGTGTCTTCACAGTACAATGAGGACTCTCCAAAATAATTCCTTCTTCTGTGTCAAATATTGGATTATCTATTCCAGTTTTAGGAGGGATTTGTGCCAGTTTCTTAAGCCTCATGGAAGCAGTAAGGTCCAGTTCTTGTTTCTTTCCCTCTTCTTCGCGTCTGCGCCTCATGTCCTCCTGCTGCTGACGAATTCGCTCAAGTTGAGCGCTCCGCCGCATGGGCATCATCCTGGAGCCCAAATCCCCTGGGCAATCAACAGCCATTTCTCTGTGCTTTTGAGGTTCCTCAGGACATGCAAGATCCACATTTTTTGCTTCACTGTCGGAATCTTCTGTGATATGTCCATTCATATGAGAAGTTGTCATGATTATTTGTAATTATGCCTATTCTCTTCAAACACAAATGCTGCTATAAGGCCAGTTTTCGTTATGATGTGGCATAAAATCCATTATAACTTCAAAAATACTTCCCTTCCATCACAAGACAGTTGAAGAAACATCCAGGTCGAAAATCTAGTGAAAGATATGCAAAAGAATTTACTGAATAACTGCATTCAGAAGCAAACATCTAAGAGTTCTTCAGGCCTCCACAAAAAGAACGCTGGGGCTTTTTCTCCACAGTCACATAGAGCTTCTTCCCCTAAGAACTACAACACCCACACAGATCTGATTAACACATTTTAGTAAACTTTATGTGCCAGTGTTAGAAAAAGAGTACCGTTAAAACTAATGCTAAAGTTCCTTGTATATCCAGGACAAAGCAGTAGAGATTTTGCACTTAAACAACTGCAAATCAGCAGTTTTCTGAAGTCCCCGCTCAGTTTCAATTTATCCTTTCATTCTTAAAATTCCAACACAAACTACGCCTATGATCCTACAAACACTCAATGTGAACAACTCGTTATAAACAACATATTTACAAGAAGTTTGGCAAAGTTACATCCAAGTATAAATATCTGCACTTATTGTTTGTAAGTTACAGCATTTTCATGTAAACACTGCTTCCCAGATTTAAGAGAAGACAAATCTAGGGTACAGTTCTTCAAAAAGGAGCACTGAAACTGGAACAACTCTGAAACAAATCTGAAGGGTATAAAGTCCTGGGACACGGGTTGGAGAGTTCTGGTTAGTAACTACTCTTGCTGCTTTCTATAGATACACATTAAAGCACAAAGTACCAAATAGAAGGCGAAAAGTGTGTGTGTGCATGCGCGCGAACACGTATACATATTTGAGAATGAACAATAAATTTCCATAGTCAAGCAGTGACATTCCACTCTACTCCCTATTACGGTTTCACATGTCCTGATAAGTACAACCAGTCAACTCTTAAATATAAGACATAACGCAAGTGTCCTATAATACATTGCCTTTTCTTTCAGTTTTCTGTATCACACGCCCATTGACACATTGTCTCCAATATGCACACTTAAAAGGACATAAAATTAATAGGTAGCTGTGCAAGGTAATCACAGTATTACCAACTACATTTACAATTTCTGAAGTTCCTTTTTAACAAGTTTCTTTTAGTTACGGATTGAAAGGGAATACTATAAACACCTCAAAGTTGTATTTTACAGAAACACAGGAAGCACCAAGACAAAAAATGAATTTTTCCTTTCTTAAACAGAATGTTTGCATTTGGAGGAGGAAGGCAAGGCTGCTGATGTAATTAAGCTGAAAATTAAATATCAAGAGTACAGTATTGGAGGAGCAGCAACAAAAACTCCTACACAAGTTCTTGCTAGTTTGCAATTCTAAGTACGTGCCGGTTTTCATCATAATAAAGAGTAGCCTACAAATACATACAACACTAAAACAGTTTTTTTCATTCACCTAGTCACTGCTACCAGTTAGTGTTGAGATCTTCCACAAAGTAAATATTTAAGTATTTCTATGGTAATGAAAGCTTCCTTCTTTCTCCCTTTAAAAGATACTCAACTGTTTTTCCAAATTCACGTACATGCAAAAATGATTTCAGTGCTCAATACTCCCACGTTCAGAAAATCAGGCAACAAAAAAACTCAAAAGCTGCACAGCAAACTGGGGCCTGTACAACTGTCCATTGTTGCCTAACTGAAAAAGAAAACATTCTAAAGAAAGTATCTAAGTTCTCTAAAGACATAGAACAAAGTTATTCAGAAAGGGTTTTACAGAAAGCACTGTATCAAAAAAGGGGTCTCTGAAATTCAGAGAAAGCCAGATGACAATTTGGCAAAATCATCCTCAGAAAAGGAGCGCCTTCTGTAAAGGTAACTTCATCATGTAGAATTACCCATTACCCCCCCCAAAAAAAAAAGAAGTCTCATTGGTAGAACTGTGTCAAACAGTTTAACACCTGTTTATTCAGCACTAGTCTAACACTATCTAAGGATATCTAAAAAGTCAGTTTTGGAAAAACTACTGTCCAATTCCAATGAACCAAATAAGTGCATGAGGAAGAACCTTCAGATCAACTCTAGAGCTCTTCCCTACAACAGCCCCATGCAATCTAAAATTTAAGATACCTGACACTGGTAAAATGTTAAGTCTAGTTCTCAAATTAAGGTGAAGTGGAGCTATTTGTTACCGAAGTGGTAATATCAGGAATATAAATTTTTATTCCAACCAATAAGCATAGCCTCAAAAGACTTGCACTATATAATTTAGAAACAGTTTTGCTGACTTTCATTTCTCAAGGTGTTTATTTTGCAATTTTGATAATCCTGAGACAATAATAATAAGAAAAAGGCTATAACAAGTCTGTTCTCTGCCAGCTATGGATCATCTGATAAACCAACTTCTAAGCCAGAGGAGAGCTTAATTTGTTCCATTAAAACGTTATACTAAGGGGGAGACAACTTACAGACATTAATACTGATTTTTACTGTATCATGTACATGTAGAATAATATACAGAATTAACAGAATTCTTTTTCACTTTAAAACTCAGTTGATCCTAGCAGCTTTTATGCTCTTTAGATAAAGATAGTCTGTGTTACATGGAGTTTGGGCGCTCAAGCTTTAATAGGGCTAAATCGCAGCTTTGAATGCCCCCTTTGAACCATCAATATCTAATAGCAGGACCTCAGTATTGCCACATGGCAAGCAGATCTTTTCAAATAAACTGAATTTATGACTATCTTCTGCCCAACTTCATACCACAAGTCTGACCAATACGGTCCTGGACAGCACACGTGAAAGTCTCTTCTTTGCAGATTACTCTTACTGTTCAAGTTTTTACCCTACAGAGCAGGGTTTGTACATACAGCTAGCGTAAGTACAGCTATTGAGACAGAATATTTTAACTACTCTGATCATCATCAGGCATCACACAAGAACTTCACTGTGAAGCAACTGTGAACAGCAAACAAACCATACTTCCAGTGCAAGCTCAAAACAGACGAATTAAAGAAAAAAAAGTAGCTAATATCTTGCTAACTATACTTCCCATTCCCACAAATACTGTACTTTACAAGCTATGCATTATTCTTCATACTGACCCTAATAACGCCAAGGTTCCATCATCTAACAGTCCTGAATATAACGAACAAGGCCCAGTCCCCAAAAGTTCTATCTGTAACAGGACAAACATAGATAAATTTAGCCATCTTGGTGTGCAAGACAGATGCTAATATAAAACACATGCTGACAGGGACAGAAATGGAAGGTAAGTGCTGTAAGGTGTTTTAAGTTTTCACTTGCTTTCTGGGGATAGTGTCTGCTGCACAGAGCAATCCTAACTGCTTCAACAGCTAAGTTCTGTACCATAAAATTAAACTTGTTTTGTTTCAGCAACTTCTAAAGAGTAAAAATGACATCATCTTGAGGCTGAGGTTTTATGTCATGTTTTGGTGATGTTTAAAACTCTTTCAGTGCTACAAATACGATGAGACTTGATAGTTCCCTCTTTAAAATTCACTAAGCTTCAAATTCTGAATGACTGCAGGAAATTTAGTGCTCAGCTCCAAAACTTAGTGCTTCATCAATTTTGGCACACCTGAGAGTAAGAAAGCCCAACCTACATCTGTAAATACATTATAAGCATAAGTAATACATATTTAACATTATGCAGGATGCAAAGGAGTCTGTCAGCAGCCGAGACACATATACTAAGACTATGATAGATACGGTATATTTAAATACTCAATAAAAACAATTAGGAGAAGACAACTAGGTTGTGAAGTGAATTAAAACAGTTTGATTAAATCACATACAAGATGCTTCCTAATGTCTAAATTGTTGATGAAATATTAGCATAAAACTATGCTAGAGATCTCTACCATGTATTATTAATAGCTCATCTAACGGTGGGTATTCTGGGATGTTTATTCACTACTTCACACTTCTAAGCAAGCAACGCTTAAATCACTGCATCATCTGCCAAGCCTCATTTGTTTCTTCAACAATACAAACAATTCTTCAGAGCATAAAATTAACCTCCAGTTGATGAGAACTAAAGATTGGAGTCTACAGGAGAAACAACCTCAGAGATATCCAATATGGAGCTTAATAGAAAAGTACCTGAAACAACTGGTAGAACCTAGAACACCTTGATATTTTCAAAAGCAGTTAAAAGTTACAAGACCTGTAACTTCTTGATACCATAGTTCTTAATTTCAAAAATTCTACAGCAGAAAAAACAATTCTCTTTACCTTAACTCTGGAATACATTCAAAAGAGTGAGTGTTTTTTTTTTTTTTTTTTTTTTTAAAGTCCACAACATTTTATGTGATTTCTTCTAATTAGATGCCATCAGCATAGTCTTAGGATTGGAAGAAAATGTTTCCTTTCATACCCATCTGACTCTTAATTGTAATCATTTCAGACAAGTGCTCATTAGAAAACCTGTCAAGCACAGTAGCTCAGTTCAACATGTATTTCAAAGGGCTTTCAGACACATTCCATTCTCACTTAAATGTGCAAGATCTGTGGATCAACAACAAGAAGGCCTAAACCCTCAAAAGGAAAGCAATTTTCATTGTTAATGTTTCCTAAGTTACATTGGCACCAGAGAAATAAGAATGCTAACTGGAAACATTAAAATGCAGAGAAATTGGCGAAACTGAAATTTCAGACACTAGGATTAGATTCCAGTTTCATAAACTGTATAAACAAACTGCATTGCATCCAAAGAATGGAAAATTGTAACACATTTTTGTACCACACTGGTATTACATTTAAGAAGCGTGGTCTATTTAAGACATGCACTCGGTTTCATTAGGCTTGTTTATCTGTTGATTCAGTGACAGCAATCAAAAGAGTCACAGCTCAAGTACCGGCCAGTCTGTCTTCACTAGCAATCTGAAAGGAGCAAAGGGCTACTGGTTAGAGAACAGATATGAACAAAGTATTTCCTGTGGAAAACTTGGACCAATAAGACTAAAAAAATCGTATCAACCAACAGCTGCACAACCCAGACTGATATATTGCTCTCTTCAGCAACTGTACCTTTGCAGTAAAAGTACATGCAAGATACATTGGTAGTTTCTCGGTATATACGATACCTATGAATGTGTATAGAGTAATTTCATTGTGTGCACCTGACAGACAAGAGTGGATTTTAACCCGTTTTACTGCAGAACCACGAATTGCTTTCTGAGGTACATTCCAAAGGTTAAGTTTCATTTAAATGTTCAGTTTAATACAACACCATCCTCATTTCAGCCATTGTTGTAACTTTTAGTCACAAGTCAGGCTACTACATATATTTTTGAAAGAGGCAGTGCTTAGTTTAGTTAACCTAGCGTGACAGGCACTGGAGTTTGGATAAACCATTTTTGGTGCCTCAAAATTAAAAGCAGAAATGCAAGATTTCTAGCTCCTACCACTCATCACAACGCAGTCTTATTCATCGCCAAGTGTCTAAAATAAGAGATCAGGCACTCATCTGGCACAGCGAGGTGATGTTTCCCGCCCCGGCTTCTCCCTCGCCCAGGCCCCTGGGGCAGCAGCTGGAACGCCTCATCCCCTCCCTGGGATCCGATTAGCATTCCAGCGGCATTCTCGGCGCGGGGCTGTTTGTTGCCATAGCGACAGCTTTGTCAGCTCCCACGGAGCCCGTGCGGAGCGCTCAAGGACTTACATCATACGATAGCGATGCCGCCCCTCAATTCCCTCAGCTCCTCTGCCTGCGATTCGGAGACAGCGCCTGCCAGTCTTCCAACCCTGTTAGAAATCGAGATGATTACTCAAACCAGGAGCCGAAAACCACCTTTTGGGGGAGTTGTACGGGTTCAGTCTCAGATGACTAAAACCACATAGTAAGCAGCGGTAACGATGCCAATAAAGCCTCTGAAGAAGAGTACGTAAACTGCCTGTTCTCTTTATGTCAATCATTTGAAAAGGCTCAAAGCCTCTGTGACTCAGGTGAGTGCAACGAGTTTAAGAGCCTTATCAGATACACCACAGTAAATTACTTTTAATAATACATTTTAGCTGCGTTCAGTCTGAAGAAGTTAATGCCACTTAAAATAAGCATAATCTAAACTTCAAGAAATTGAACAGGGGGATTTTTTTTTTAAAAAGAGAGATGATACAGCATTCACACCTGGGGGAGGGGGACACTTAAATCTTGTCTAAATTCTTATTCCCTGTGAAAACCATGTTGCATGTGCTATTAGCAACAATCCTTGATTAAAGGAGCTCACTACTGAGATACTAATTTGTTAGAAGTGATAGCACAGGTCAAGCAAAACCACTGAACAGGAAGCTTCAGTCTTAACAAATCTGACTTTCTGCTGTGGTATAAGTACTTTTATCTCAGTTATACTAGTAATTAAAATACTTCCAAATTTGACCGAGATCAACTAGGATGTGTACTGTTAATGTTGTCAACGGCTGTTTTTATATGGTGACAAGTGCCTTTGTTTTAAATATACTATGGCACTTACACACCAGTACTGTTTATTTTGTAACTTTCAAGCCAAATAAAAAGACATGAGGGGGTAGAAACTTTCAGCTGAGGTGACTACAGACAGACTGGGGTGAGGGGATGACAGCAGAAACATACCAGAAGTAGCCATCAGGAAGCTTATTTCTAAAATTCTTATCTGGACAGAAAACTTAAGACTTCTGCCAAGGTCACTTAAGCATACATTTTAATTCAGTAAAATACTATTTGGCTTTTGTTTATATTTTGCCATCCTGTGTTATCATTAAAGCTCTTACCTAGTTTAAGCCCCTTTCAATTACTCACTAACAACTCTTAGCACTTAAGAGCTAAATTCTACTTTAGCTGAACAATACAGCAGAGGGCAGTGTCTACACCAATTACAGAAAAAACAAAGAAAGAAACACATTCCATTTCAAAAAGCAGCCCATGCAAATGACCAAAGTTACAGCTCATTAAAAACAGTCCAGCACCCGCAGTACCCCAAAACAGTACATATTCATGATCCTAGCATCCTCTGATGGCTTAGATTAACAGTCTAGCAACTATGCATACATTTGAATACACAGCTCTGAGGATGTCTCTAACACCATCCAACCCTGCTCTACAAGAAACTTGTTTATGTTTCACAGAGATGCAAGTGGACAACATGGATATCTAGGAGCTGCAATAAAAAGATGATTGAACAGCGAAAGAAAAAAGAAAGTACCACCTTTATTTAGCATTTACTCCAAACATTTAGAGAACCGTAAAGCATAACAAACAAAGAGTAAAGAAATTCCTAGAATTCCAGGCGATGTTAACAGATTTCAGAGGACGGCCAGAAGCATGATAACAAGACAGTCATTTCTTATCACCTATCCAGAAACAGTTAAGACTTCAGATTTCATTGTCTAAAGAGTAAACATGCCTGCCCTTGTATTAAACTGTGGTCATATTCTCTGAGAGATTAAAAATACTGCTGCTATTTTAGTTCTCCAGTAAATTATTTTTTCTTTAAATCGTGTAACATTCTGTTTTGGACTCCTGCACTCTAGTCTCACTTTAATTCCATTTTTTAAACATACTTTTAATGTAAATGTTTAGCACTGCTTCACTGTGCAAAACATAGTATTAAAAGTAAATGCTCGTGTACTAATATGTAAAAGCCACTTTCACTTCAGAGAAGAGATGGAAAAACTATACTTAATTCTAAATTAAATTCAAGACACAGTGTTCCATAATTTACATCTCTTCTGACATTCAAATTAATTTAAAATGGCATTAGTTTAATTCTCCGCACTCAGTTGTTCTTCAGCCATGTATACAATATTCCAGAGAAAGAAAAATTTCTTCCTTAGAGGATAGTGAATCTGGCACACACGTTTTGAAACATCACCTAACGAAAAGGCAAAGGTAGACATTCCCTGCAGGATTTCATCCAAAAATTCTTAACTGTTAACTACCTAGTTCAGCAGGCTTCAAAGAGACAAGATATAGGGACCAAGGCTTTCAGCTTTACGTGACTCAGCTGCAGGCTTCGCAAATATGAAAAGCAAGGTCTCACTCACAATCTCCATCATATAACACAGATACACGTGCTATCCTCTGTTACAAGGCTGCCCCTCCCAGCACTGTCTTTCCAACTTTTTTTGGCAATATTATCTGAATGGGTGACAGCACAGTGATTTTTCAAAAAATAATTGCCTTCAAGGCTTTAACCTGATTAGTCCTGTCACCATATTACTCAGTTACCTGAAAAATGAATAAAGATTTTCTGACATTTTCTCTGACCACAAGAACAAAGTGAGACTTCAGAACACTGAAATTCTGAAATGTAGAACAGAAAATACAAAACCGTATGACTGATGATCCTACAGAGCTCAGTCAGTCGTGCACCACAAAGGCTAACAAGATTTCATTTGAGCTCTTTTGCTATAATCTTCCCAAGTTATTTACAGAAAAATCATATAAACTGTTTTAGATAGCCAGGTCTGAAGTCACAACCCTCTTTCATTCCTACACTGAACTGAGCTATGGTGACAGAACCACTGAGCAAAATCACAAACAACTTGCTGCATAAATTTCTGAAGTTTTCCCCTGGAAGATTTTCACGTCATAACCACAACCCCCTAAGGTTTCCTCTTTCTAATTAAGATCCTTTGTACTTGCTTTTTCCTGCAGGGTGCCGTAAGCAAGGCACGCTAGCCATGCTGTGAACATTACAGTTTTGTCTGTGGTGCTCGTTTCAGTATTGTCACCAGGCCTAGTTGTAGGGTTAGGGAAAGCAGACAGAAAACCCTGCTAACACAGACAGAGGAAACCTTCCTCAAAATAGGATAAATACAACAAATAGCTATGGCAAATACATCCCTCAAAGAAATATGTGGTCACAACAGCAGTTTGCAGAGAATGATTATACTCGAGTGACTCGAATGTGACATGAATTCACATCCATCGAATGTGCTGGAATGTTTCTCACTCCTGAGAAGCAGAAGACTACAAGTTGCAAAGTCAGAATTCAGATTTTTGCAGACTAAAACAACTGCTCAGAAGTTGCCAGATGTTGTAGTTCCTTTATACTAACTGTCAGTCATGTTCCTTGACATTTGCAGAAATTAAATAGTATGTATGCTTGCACACAGCTTTTACTTCCAAACGGCTAGCACAGAACAAAGCTTACTAGGCTTTCAAGTGCACCGTACTTTCGGATCTTTCTGAACAGAGACTCCATGATTCATGAATTTATGACAAGAATCAGGAAAAAGAAGGCTGACTCTGCCAGTACGGTTCCTTGGTCCGTTAAGCTGAGCTAGTGGTTTGCCGCTGCCAAAGACTGCAGGCTCATAACCCTTTTTCTTGAATGCTCCCTTACCTTCCTGTTTTGAGCTGCATAGCCAATACCCTCTCTGATAGCTTTGAAGCTTGTCATATTTCTCTGCAAGTCACCTTGCTTCACCGAGATTGCAGAATGTTACTCGGTATTTTTGTTTGTATCTGGTTAGTTTTTGGTCAAAGTCACACGCTACAGCAGTTAACAGTAAAGGTACAAGTGACAGGAGCGAGTGGTTGCTATGAGGGAGACGGAGAAGGCAGGACACAGACAAGCAGAAGCTTCCCTCTGGCAGCTGTGGGCCATCTATAATGGAATCTTGTCTCAGGGAACCCTATTCTATGAATTCATCTGTTTTTCAGGGAAGGTGGCCTCTTTCAAAATCAGTAGCTGTTGATGAAATATTTGTGGGGAAACGGGGGGGGGGGGGGGCGCACCCCTACGGGCCTCAGACACTTGCATTTCTTTTAGTGGGTGTAAATAGGACAGTTAAAAAAACCTATTGGTTTCTCTTAAAAGGCATACCCTGAGACAAGTTTCCAATACAGTGGGTGTAAAGGACTGCAAAACATGGATTTATCCTTGAGTATATTTCCTCCCAATCAAAAAATGGTAAATTGAAAACCCATGTATTGAGTACATTATTAAAGGAGATGACAAATCTGAACATCTCTGCATATTCTTTACCTGAGAACACTCAAGTAGACAACTACCCAACCTACTATCTTTGTATAAATAGCGTAAAACGCACAAGATGGGAATCCATGACTCAGAAGAGCTAAAATGTTTACCGTGGACAGTGAGAAGAGATCATCACACCTTAAATTTCTGCTTGTAGCAGAAGGCATAACGTTAGACCAGTATGTGTATGCTTTTAATGCAAATAAAAGCATTTGACTCTACTCTATTAGGCGTACATATTCCTATACAACAGAGTATACATGCGCACGACCACTTGGAAACAGAAAACTACAGACTAACCTTATCCCAAACCTTCCCCAAATTTATCTCAGTGATGTGTTAAACTCGCTGGAACAATCCCAGCCGTGACTGAAAAACTATGTTACACACTGGTTCTTTGGGCATGCTGTAAGGCAAGACTGCCAAACAAAACTTATACCGTCTAGTAACTTGCAATACAGGTCATGAGGAGAACCTGTAGAAAAATAAAGAAAGTATTAGCAAAATTCCACTGTAAGATGTGGAAACTGCATACTCCATAAACAAACTACATTATTAGACTCCATAATAAAAACACATGAGAAAGCATCACAAAAGCTACAAAAACCTAATGTTTGAGGCCTTTTGTATCTTACAAAAACAGTGTCGCTTTCTCTTCTATTAAATGTAAATGGACTCATGGGCCTAATTTTAACAATTAGACAAATTAAGATAAAGCCCTACTGGAAACACACTCACTTCTGCAAATCCTATTCAAGAACATAAACACTTTGG